AGTGACTGACATCATGAGCATCGATCCACGCAATTGGGACCGATGACATGCATCAACCAAGTCAGCGAGCCTGACCACCCGATCCCGTTAGTCGCCTTTTACAACAAGCATAGTCGCCTTTTACGGCAAGAATGGGTTGCTGAAGACCGTATGTATAATCACATGGTACATGCATGTTATTACTGGCATGATCAAGTCATGTTATGCCTATATAGATGTTAACAGCAAGGTCAGGTATGCTTTTCGCCGCTTTAGCAATGTTCTGGTACTTTAAGGACAGGGAGAGTTTGACGAGCGAAGACTTGAACCACACAGCTACCCCACTACCCGCCTTAGGGCATCTGTGTCATGCTAGATAACCCTTTCTAATAAATAGTAATAAAACTGTATTATATCTATGCCGTACTGTTTTATTTCTAAATGGTTAAAAAAGGACATAAACATTTTTGGTCTACATGAATCGTAAATTTGAAAATTGGAATCTTTTAGAAAATGCGAGTGATCATTTAAATAAAAAAAGCTTTTCTTCTTTTCAATATTTAATGTCAGCGCTTTAACGTGCCCAATGCATTATTCTAATGTTTGACCGTGGTCAAGTTTTTACTTGGACCTTTCAACGAGCATTGATAATATTTCGTCTTGCCTCTACCTGCATTATTCGTGTTTCCGTAAAAGTCTGCACGTGTCTAACCAACTGTTAAATGTCAGCACACATTCACACACACCCACATCAACCCACCCACGCTTCCACACACCAACACCCACGCCGTTAACCCGTTAATGAGTTAAAGTCAATGTGATTTGTAAGATATATTTCTTTATTAGTTTAAACAATATATATCATCTTTGCATCTATAAAACAACATTTTGAATTTTTGGATTCGATACCAATTTAGTATTATCCACACCGAGGTAGATGCTGGGAACTCCCAGATTATACCCCCTGGAGGTAAATTCTGGGAAAGGGGGATGGATTCTGGGAGCTTACACCGGTTTCGATTACAGCGTGAATGTTGATCATCGGTAAAGGTGGCGTAAAACAACATTCACTCACTATTTAACACAGTGCACAGTCCATCCCCTTGAGGTCACAATGTCAAAGTGTTTTGCAGCTGCTTGTGCTAGTCCGTACATATGCCGGTTTTATAGTGCTGGTCGACTGCCAGGCTTTGGTACGACGCGGCCAGGGATCGAACCACCGACCTTCCGCTCTCCAGGCAGACGCTCTATCCACTAGGCAATGGAGGCAGTATAATGCGCGAATGCATGATAGATTAACGTTTATTTAACCGTCATTCGTTTTGTTATTCACCCTACCTTGAACAGGCATACCTTTTCTTTCGAGGAAACATTTTTAACATGATCTGTCTGAGCACGTGATTAGATTTAGCACAGTTTACACACGATCATCCACATAAAGGTCGAGAAAAAAATTCGTGTGTGTCAGATTCACAGCATCTCCTTGTCCTGTTTGTTGTCGTCTGCGTTTGCCAAATGCGGCAGACGACATGTAGGACAGGGACGACTGACAGAGAAGTGACAGGCTTGTATGGCGTTATAAATTATGCTATGCTTGGAACGTTGACGTGTCTGGAGACGTGAGTTCACACAGACGACGCCACCACGACATCGGCATGGGTCGTTTCAGGTACTGTCCAGCAAGCCTTGGATGAACGCCTGGTATCACACTAGGGGCGGATATTCGTGATAGCTTTTGGTTTTGTTATTTTCATTTCTGCGAACATCTAACATCCGGATAGTTTCAGAAACAGGATGTTGAATCTATTCCCCGTGGCGGCCATTGTCAGTATAGGCCGCTCGGGTATCACGGATCACATGATTGTTTGTTTGTTGTTTAACGCCGCACTCAGCAATATTCCAGCTATATGACGGCGGTCAGTGAATAATCGATTTTGGACTTGATAATCCAGTGGTTGAAATCATGATCATCGATCTACGCGACTGGGATACGATGACATGCATCCACCAAGTCCGCAAGCCTGGTCACCCAGTCTCGTAAGTCGCCTCTGTCGGCAAGCACGGGTTGCTGGAGAACATTAAAGGACATATTGGGGCACATGTGGAGTTCAGATTTGGAGAAGGCACACCAATACATATAAACGGTCATGTGGACATATTTGGGAACATCATGGCATATTCATGGACATCAGGACATATTGGGGAACATCATGTCAGATTTATGGACATCAGGACATATTGGGGAACATCATGTCACATTTATGGACATCAGAACATATTGGGGAACATCATGTCAGATTTATGGACATCAGGACATATTAGGGAACATCATGTCAGATTTATGGACATCAGGAAATACTGGGGAACATCATGTCAGATTTATGGACATCAGGACATATTGGAGAACATCATGTCAGATTTATGGACATCAGGACATATTGGGGAACATCATGTCAGATTTATGGACATCAGGACATATTGGGGAACATCATGTCAGATTTATGGACATCAGGACATATTAGGGAACATCATGGCATATTCGTGGCCATCAGGACTTATTGGGGAACATCATGTCACATTTATGGACATCAGGACATACTGGGGAACATCATGTCAGATTTATGGACATCAGGACATATAAGGGAACATCATGTCAGATTTATGGACATCAGGACATATAAGGGAACACCATGGCATATTCGTGGCCATCAGGACATACTGGGGAACATCATGGCATATTCGAGGCCATCAGGACACATTGGGAACATCATGGCATATTCGAGGCCATCAGGACATATTGAGGAATATCATGGCATATTCATTGACGTCAGGGCATATTGGGAACATCGGGACGCACTGGAACACATCAGGGCATATTTGGGGTACATCAGGGGGACATATTGGGGCACCTCAGGACTTTGGGGGCACCTCAGGAGATATTGCTGGACATCAGGGCATATTGGAGGACATGCGGGGGAACATCAGGACATACTGGGGAACATCAGGACATACGGGGGAACATCAGGACATACTAGGGCACATCAGGACATATTGGAGGACATACGGGGGAACATCAGGACATACTGGGGAACATCAGGACATCCTGGGGAACATCAGGACATACTGGGGAACATCAGGACATACTAGGGAACATCAGGACATACTAGGGCACATCAGGGCATATTGGAGGACATCCTGGGGAACATCAGGACATACTGGGGAACATCAGGACATACTAGGGAACATCAGGACATACTAGTGCACACCAGGGCATATTGGAGGACATACTGGGGAACATCAGGACATACTAGGGCACATCAGGACACACGGGGGAACATCAGGACATACTGGGGAACATCAGGACATACGGGGGAACATCAGGACATACTAGGGAACATCAGGACATACTAGGGCACATCAGGGCATATTGGAGGACATACGGGGGAACATCAGGACATACTAGGGCACATCAGGACATATTGGAGGACATACTGGGGAACATCAGGACATACTGGGAACATCAGGACATACTAGGGAACATCAGGACATACTGGGAACATCAGGACATACTAGGGAACATCAGGACATACTGGGAACATCAGGACATACTAGGGCACATCAGGGCATATTGGAGGACATACTGGGGAACATCAGGACATACTGGGAACATCAGGACATACTAGGGAACATCAGAACATACTGGGAACATCAGGACATACTAGGGCACACCACGGAAACATATTTGGGCAAATGAGGACATAACAGGGCACATAAAAACAATGCGCACATCAGGGAACATATTAAGGGACGTCAAGGGACATATTATTAGTTCACGCCACGCCCAATATTTTTTGAAAGGGGGTCCTAGGAGTGGAACAAACTGAATCAATCTCAGAATACACGTCCTTCGTTACCAGTAGAACATTGAACACTCATTATTTTGCTATAAATTTCCACTGCTTTCATTGTAATTCCTGCATGCTGATTAGCTGAATTGATCGCATGATATTTCACTCAATTCCCAATGAATGTAAAAAATATTAAGCCACGCCCACCGAAGCGGACTACTTTAATCACTACGGAATGTCAGGGAATCCCAGTTATAGTTGAGGGAATTCCCTTCCTTCTCACCTGTATCAAGATACGTTATCAGGCCTAGTAACATTTTAGTGTTATTTTCGGTATCAAACATTTGAAAAAAACCACACAAATGACATCACAGCCCCGACAGGCCCAAGCAGTGAGCTACAACACTGCCGTCTTCCACACTGCACAAAACCGGCCCCGCGCTACATCAGTCCCACAAACTGCCATGTCTTCAGGTTTCATTTCCAACTCGCATTTTCCACTGTCTCCAAGTTTTCAGGAAACTAATGTTTGAATCTGACGGTTACTGACCATGTCATCTGAAACAACCGCTTTACCCATGACCTTTTTTTGTTCCGCTTCGTCACGGTTGCATTTTTTTCTTTCCACCTCCAGCCTTGATCGACACGTCCTATGACCTATGTTTGATGTTTTTCTCTGTTGATTGGGGGGGGGGGGGGGGGGGGGGGGGGTAGCATAGTGGTTAAAGCGTTTAGCTCGTCACGCCGAAGACCCGGGTTCGATTCCCGACATGGGTACAATGTGTGAAGCACGTTTCTGGTGTCCCCCGACGTGATATTGCTGGAATATTGCTAATATTGGCTTCTTTCTTTGGGGGCGTGTTAAGTTATATAAGTACACAAATGAAACAATCACCTGGTATTGCCACGCCATAATATATGTATTCCTACGCCAGGAATGTTTACCCATTTCCTGATATTTTACTGCTTTCATAGATGCAATTGTTTTGGGTTAACCTATTGTTGATAACACATGTTTTCGTTGTCGAATTGTATTATAAGGATTGACTGTGTGTTTTATTCGCTTCAATGAGATTTATAACTCAATGAACCGAACAAAACACAGAGTCAATCCTAAAGTACAAACTTCGTCCTCTTTTCAATTCTGATAAAGCAACAACATCAACTCCGAAATCATAACAACAACTTTAATAAACATCAACAGCAATACTTTGAAAGACATGGGCAACTTGAATGCATTTACCCTGGGAACACGAACCGCCATCAATACACACGGCAGCAGACGACACAAAATACGGAAAGTGTCATAGCCGATACCAATAAATAACGTTAACGATGAGCTATATGCAGTGAGCGAGTGACGTCGTGTAATACCATGATGTCGTGAGAAGTAGTCCGCAACATACTACATACATGAATGTTATTGAACACTGAACACGGTCAAGGACAACGTTTGCAAGTTTAGCACTGCCAAGCAGAGGCGCAAAATTAACCATTCACCCGGGCACTGCCTGTGTTCATGGCGGCGCCGATAACGCCTGCTTGCATTTCATCGGAGGAAGGAAATATAGGATCTTGCGGAATAATACGAGAAATAATTTTCAAAGGTGAATGGAATCAATTAATTGATGTTTCAGTATCAAATATGACATTCAGTTGTTTTTTTTGTATTGGAAAATGTATTAAGAATGTATACACCTCCAATACATGTTCAGATCGTTTGTTGTTAACATATCCAAATGTCATATCATTATAATCATAACACGACGTCAATGCACTGTAATTTTTAGGCAATACGTGTTCTGGCATTTGTTCTTAAAACTGACAAATGAAACGCAGTCGTGGGACAAGAACCACAGCAAGAAAAAACTAAATGACAAACTATGTTAGGCGACTAACGGGATCGGGTGGTCAGGCTCGCTGACTTGGTTCATGCATCTTATCGTATCCCAATTGCGTGGATCGATGCTCATGATGTCAACCACTGGATTGTCCGGTCCCGATTATTTACAGACCATCGTAATATAGCTGGAATATTGCAGAGCGCGGCGTTAAACAACAAACCAACAAACAAATAAACAAGCCATCAATAAGTAAAACATGAACATTCACACAAATAACACCCAAGTTTTTAGCAATACGTATACGATACAACAGATCTATATTACAAGACTAACTGCAAATCTAAACAATTGTGAAGTCTATTTGGCAAATTGGTCACAGGCACACTTAAAACAAAATCTCATCCAGGACATACCCGATCTTAGCTTAGGATCAACGATGTCAACCAGGGATACTCTGAACTCAACGAGATATACCCCGATCTTTGCCAGGTAATATCCTGATCTCATCCAAGGTATCCAAGATCTCAGCCAGGAAACATCCTGGTCTCATACAGGGGATATACCCCTATCTCAGCATTGGGATACCCCGATCTCTGACAGATGCTACCATGATCTCAGTCAGGAAATACATTGAGTTTGTTTTTTGGTCAGCGTTGTCATCTTTGTCACCGTTCATGTCGTGTTCTCTGGGTCATTTAATCACAGCCACATTACCAGTAAGGAGTCTTATAATCAACGTGTGTCTTCTGTTCTATCCTTGTTCACCCCGAAGGGTCGTTCTTTCCAAAGGCGTTGCAACAGTCAGTTGACTTTTCTCTAATGCTGTACTTGTTCTAGAATACATCGGCCGGGTGTCTTAGCATCATACCTCACACATATAAATGTATTTCAATTGCCATTCTAAACAAGGCTTAGTAGCCCTTTTGTACTCAGATATATATCAAGCCACATCCCCTTTGGCGCACGTCCCTAAGGGGATTGGTCCTAGCTCAGTCGTATAAAGGTATATTAAAATAACTAATTTGGGAAGCGTTGGATACGCTTTCTGTATCAATAGACAGATCATTCACACCATGGTACTCAGACAAATACACGCTGTCTGTTGTTGAAGCAATGTTCATGTAACTCGACACGCCAGGCGCGTGGTTAAAATGTACGTGGTGATGGTCCTTAGGGGGAGATAACACAGTTTCTGTTGGGAACACTGGGGAGGAGTTACATTCCCTGAATGCAACTCTTTGGTGAGAGAGGTTATACACTGGTGACCCTGGAACGCTCATGTCGGATTCATGGCCTCTACAGTGAACTGAAAGAGATCATATGGGACATTAATTTTGTGTGTTAGCAAGAGAATCGGTTCAAACACAGTATTCAAGCTTGTTCACGAATCAACGAGTACTGGTATAGTAGTGAGTGAGTGAGTTGGATTTAACGCCGCTTTTAACATTATTCCAGTTATATCGCGGCGTGTCAGCTTATATGGGAGGAAAGCCCGAAGTGATGCAGGTCTCAGACGTTTAACACTTCGGGGGAACCCACGAGCACGGGTATGGTGCTGACAAACCTAGAAACATAATCGGGGCGAACCGGGATTCGAACCCTCAATCATAGGTTTCTGGCGTGCCCAAGGGACGCAACTCTGCAAAGCGAATCGCGGCGCCTTAGACGACTGGGCCACCCGTGCCCCCACTGATATAGTAATAGATGAGGATTATAACCATGGCGAATGTGGGATTCGAACTGTCGATCATCGGATCCTAGCACGACAAAGGGACACACCTTTGTACAGCGAAGTGCGGCCTTGAGCTATGCTTACGGCCATCAAGTGCCGATCAATACGAAGGAATAAATTATCTGAAATCATCCTGGCAATTTAATAAACATGGAAAACACTGTCCACTTATATTTAACAATTCACACAATGAAAGTCACGATATCAACTTACATGCGCTAGAAACCGCTGTTAAATACTCCACTATCTGGAAATGACCATTTGCCTCGGCCTCGTCCACAGGGCGATGACACTTCCGGTTGCACGTGTTAAGATTTGCGCCCTCTTCAACCAGAACTTGCACGGCATGGCTATTTCCGCGGTACGCCGCTAGGTGGCAGGGCGTGTCTCCGCTCTGAGTTAACGAGTTCACATTCGCTCCATTCTTCACCAACAACCTGTCCAAAAAACCACAACACTTATTAAAGATAAAAAAACACTTATGTTTTCCACTTGATATTAATATTATTATATATTTATATTTTTGTTTAGTTCATACTCTGACTGACATTAAGTGTTCACGTGACTGTCTACTCGGGTTGTTGGGATCTCTGTGGTTGGGTGTGTCTCAATCGTAGTAGATAGTTGATCGTTGTTGATAACATGTTTACATTGGAGAAGGTGAAGAGCGGCTTGGAGCCAGGCATATTCATGTGTACATGTCATGCAGTTATTCACAAATATACTTAAGCCCTCACTTGCTGTGTGCATATGAAGTGTAAACATACATGTTGACATTATTTCTGTGTATGTCTTTTTGTATCTCATTCTAACCTTACTCTAGAATGGAGAAAGTTTTGTTTCATAATTCCAAAATGTATGTATATGTTTCTTCGTGTCCGTATAAATGAGTTTGTGTGTGTGTGTGTGTGTGTGTGTGTGTGTGTGTGTGTGTGTGTGTGAGGGGGGGGACGTGTGTATGTCTGCGTGAGTGTGTATGAGTGTTCGTATGTATGAGTGACTGTGTGTGTGTGTGAGTGTGTGTGTGTGTGTGTGTGTGTGTGTGTGTGTTTCTCCATCTTATTGCGAAAAGGGGCGGTCGGGTAGCCTAGTGGTTGAAGCGTTCGCTCGTCACGCCGAAAACCCGGGTTCGATTCCTGACATGGGTACAATGGTGAAGCCCATTTCTGATGTCCCCCGCCGCGATATTGCTGGACTATAGCTAAAGGCGGTGTAAAACCATACTCACTCACTATTCCGAAAAATATATTTCGATGTAAACCCAAACAAGCTCACATATCCCAGTACATACATTTACATAATTACATAGAGAGACGCTGTCTTTATATGTACATAAACACGACAAATAACTGTGAATATCACTCGTGAATAGCCACATGCTTATGTTCTCAAGGTGATATTTGCCCGTTTCCTTGACACTATCTTTGGCATGTTATATATCACACACACTTGGGTTATGTCTGACACCTGTCTGTCAACACTCATGATATAGACATAGCTGGGAGACCTTGTCTGTAGACGAGGATAGCTACGTGTCCTTACTGACACTCACCGACATACCTGTGTCCACGGGTCACAACACAACCATTGTGACCAGACACTCACATATGCACTAAGGACCTGACTGTTTAACATTCCGAGGGCGGGTCTAATCTTTTAAGAAGTTACATTTCATCTCTGAACATAGGTACCTAACTATAATTTGGGGACATACACCCCCTTTTTAGGCCGTCGAGAGAACAATTTTAAGCTAAATTATGCACTCAAGTTTTTACCGCAAGAAATAGAGTTTTGGGAAAAAAACCAGATCTCTCTCCCCAGCAGTGCCCAAAGTCCGCTAAGTCTGACAATCTGCACTATTCTCAATACTTAAGCCAACATGTTTCATCCGTATGATTAGGAGGAATGCTGATATGAATGTGACATGTTGTAGAAAGTTTTAGCGTTGAATTTTGTTTCAAGTTTTAAATATATATTATTTTAATTATATATCATATATATATGAATGTACATACCAGGGCTGGGACGAGTCCAGATTTACTACCCGGGTACCCACCCCCCTATTACCCGACCCTATCCGGGTACCCGCTGTAGGTCTCAAGGGGTAGGTACAAACTTTCCGATTGGGAGTCTGACCGTAGCTCTGGTAAAATGTGTTTAGATACATGTATGAAACGATCTGGTGTATACACTGAAGTTGACTGAAGTTTTATTTTTATTTAAACATTTAAAAGTCAGAAGGAATGGGCGTAGTTGTCAGGAAGAACTGCGAACATAAGTGATCTGTAGTTTAAACATAGAGTTTTAGATATTTTTTGTCACTGAACAATATATCACGTGGCTAACCACGGGTCCGGGTAGTCCTGTGGGTACCCGGGTCCTACTCAGTACCCACCCGACCCGACCCGAGTACCCGAGTTACCCGTCCCAGACATAGTACATACATATACATAACGATGTGAGATTCACTGGTGTACATGGGCACAAATATAAAGAAATTCACAAAGTAATCACACGACACGAATTGTTCTCTCTCTTTTTAGCTATATGAAATAAATAACTTTGCACTCTCATCACTCAAAATAATTTCATTTCGAAATATTGCAAATAAATGAATGCATCTGCAGAAAATTGACTCAAAATCACACCAAATGAAACTAACGATAGCTATATGAAAAACAAAAAATAATGCAAAATGGAGTACATTAGTTGTACACAATGCCAAGTGTAACTTGGACAGTGAAGATACTGTTGTTATCGATCCAACTCCTCACCTGATAACTTGCACTCGGCCAGCATCTGCGGCCGCATGGAGGGGAGTCGCTCCGTACCCAGTGGACGCATTCACGCTCGCATTGCTGGTAAGAAGCAACTCAACCAGTTCTATAAGACCTCGACACGCCGCCCAGAATAGTGCAGTTCCATCTCTCCGCGATGTTTGACAATCTAAACATCCATATTTCTGCGACTGTAACAGCTTTTTCGCCAGAGCTACATCCCCTGTGCGAATAGCTTCTATGATCGGCCGCGCCATCGCGAGTGTGTTTCCGCGTCGAGTTACTCAACTACTTATACAGGATGTAAGGTCGCTGATTGGTCCAATTGTAACCAATCAAAAACGGTGTAAACATCGGAACACGTTTGCTACACCTAAATGCATGCAAATGCGCGTTACTTTGTCTAAGTAAGTTCTGATTCCTCAAGATATCAAGGTAAGTTGATTTCATATTTGTTTGAGTGAATGTTATGAACATACATTCTTGACTATGTTACTTCCGGGTTGGTTGGCATTCGGCCTTGTCTATAGCAGCACGTGCCGACTCGTCATATGTTCACAGCGGTGATGTTGAGATATGGCCTGGTTTCTGATGTGTATACTGAGGCATGTGCGACTGTATGTGTTCGAAAGCTTACGACTTTACACAAAACCTCAATTCACACCAACAATAGTTTGTCTACTCCCTTTCCTAGTATTTCTATATTAACTCTGCGTACATACATGCGTACTGCATTGAATACGGGATAGGTTTATCTATAGATAAATGACTGGATGTCTTGTTATTATTGTGAATGTTCATAGTAACGGTACATATATTATTGTTTACAAAAGTGTTAAATATATATCTCTCTGGTCAGGCGAGTAAACATTCAAACTCTGCCTTTCCTAGGCCCTTAATTCGTCTCATCGCCGAGGATATGAGTCAATATTACTTCCACGGTAGAGCATACGTGACTGTATTTTCCATCTATACATGCCAACATAATACACACGTACATTCAACTGTATGACCGTGTTCCGTGTTGCGCGGGGGTACAGAGACAGCCGGAAGGGCCATTCAAGGGGAGATTCACTTGAAATGTGTGCTCGATGACCCCCGGGATCGCGATGTGTGACATCGCACGTCACACCGTGTATATAGATCAGGGTATGGCCAAGTGGTTTAAGCGTTCGCTCGTTAGGGTGAGTGAGTGAGTGAGTATGGTTTTACGCCGCTTTTAGCAATATTCCAGCAATATCACGGCGGGGGTCACCAGAAATTGGCTTCACACATTGTACCCATGTCGGGAATCGAACCCGGGTCTTCGGCGTGACGATCGAACGCTTTAACCACTAGGCTATCCGACCGACCCCGCTCGTTAGGCTTGCAAGTCACTCACTCATTCTAATCTATATATAGATAACGACGAAAGTTGAGATGGGGTGATTAGGAGAGAGGGATGGTGTTAGCCGAATGGTCAGTGCGCACAAATACAATTTTGATAACACTTCCTTCTGCGTACATTGGTTTTTAAAAACTATACTTGCAAAGCACATCAACATTGTGACCGATACTGTGCGTGTCTCATTTATTAATTCCTAAAACGCGCCGAGTTTACGTTCCGTTTCGGACAGTTGGAAATGTCTATACAGTAAACTACGGTTATAACGAACTCAAAGGGACTACTACTTTTAGTTCGTTATAACCGTAATTCGTTATAAGTATATATACAGCATAACTACAGAATATAGTCGGGACTAAAAAGGTAGTTCGTTATATCTGTTTGTTCGTTATAACCGTAGTTTACTGTATATAAAATAAAGCGGCATTATTATCTGAACCCATTATTCGTTAATCCAGACAATTGATAACCGGTACCATAACATGGAGAGCGATGCCACCAGGATTAAGGAAGTGTCAGTGTACCGATGTATATATCTTGTACGTTATGATAAAGAATCGATTTTAACGGACATCACATTGGCTTACACATCAACATACGCGGCACAATGCAAATTAAGGGAATCACCTGATCACTGCGGAGTAGAACCCGACCTAATCCCATGATGCCCAATACGCACTACCTGTTAGGCCTCTGCCCTTTATGTATCGAAAAGTACAACCCGATTGATCATAGGTAGCATGAATATCGCTATCTTACGTCTGTTTCCGTGATGACTTCCTGGTTGGCCTCCTTAGCCTGTAGGTGCGTGCCGCGCAGGATGATGAAGTGTGATGTATTTGTCGATTATCTTCATCGAGACCTTCAATATGATGCCTTCCTCATCTGTCTCGCAGCAGCCAATGCAATCCCAGATACTTTGACGTTCAAGAGACACCGATACCACGCCGATCAATGTTGTGCGAGTTTATGTCTTTTTACGTACACAAATGTCAGCGTGACTTTTATCTTGATGAATATGTGCCAAGATTAACGAGCATCGCTTGTGTATTGATGTGTTCCTGTTCTTGAAGAGAACATGACGGGGAACAGTAAGTGAACGGCACAATGTCTGTGGGTATTAAGAAGGCAATGTTTTATAGCTGTAATCGTTAAAATCGTAATTCTTTTTTGTACGATTTATATCAGCATAATGATTGTATTAGCTAGTTGTCATTCGTGAAACGTATAACATTACAGCATTAATCACGCAGTGGTATGGCGGCCGTAGGAAGCCTAGTGGTTAAAGCCTTCACGTGTCGCGTCGATGGCACGGGTTCGATTCCCAAGATGGGTCCAATGTGTGAAACCCATGCTCTGGTATCTCCCGTCTGGGATTTCTGAAAGAAGCGGCGCAAAATCTGACTCACTCACTGACACAGTGTACATGTACATGATGTACGACCCGTGAAGATCCGGGGTAGAACAGGTCTTCAGCAACCCATGCTTGACTCCCCCCGTGAAGATCCGGGGTAGAACAGGTCTTGAGCAACCAATGCTTGTCTCCCCCCGTGAAGATCCGGGGTACAATAGGTCTTCAGCAACCCATGCTTGTCTCCCCCCGTGAAGACAACAAACAAACAAAACACGATGTACATCAAGCTTTGAATAGTAAATGGATCTTATCCTTCCCCACGAATTCCCACAGGAAGACAAGGATAATAACTGGAGATTTATTCTGACCCGGAATCCCCACAGGAAGATAAGGATTTCGAATCCCAACGGGGAAATAAAGATAGCGACTAGGATCTTTTCTGTCCCGGAATTCCCAAAGGGAGACAGACTTTGGGAATGGGGATCGATTCCGACCCTGACTCCCCAAGGCGAGACATGGGTGTCATGTGGACAGAACGCGAATCTTTAGTCGCCGTGAATCATGCTGAGGCATTTGCACAACGCCGCGAACCGTCCACCAACCCCAATTTATTCACAAATGTAGAACAAACGTATACGTTTAGTGTGTTCCCGTCCAGTTCGTTCGCTCACTTGTTTTGAATCCATGTGTCAACATATTGCCGTTTCATCCTTTAATTCTCTTGATGCCAAAGTACACCAACGATAATCGTAACAGGAAATTACACAATGGAGCACAGGGGTAGAACTTAGTTCATTTTCACTTCAAATAGGGGTGCTCTGGAGTTCCGGGAAATAGCAGCAATCTGTTTCTACATGGTAAGACTGCAGGGAATCTCAATGGTATATCTCACGGGAGAATCCCCCAGCCGATCTCATCACATTCAGCTGTCTGCACGCCCACATGTAATTTAATTACAACCGTGTACTACAAAATTATTATCCATATTAGCTAGCAGGGATAATTCGAATTCCCCAAGCGCATCCGCTATCTGTACTTTCATTTGATGTATCTCTTTCGCAGACTAGACGCTTTGTTTTGTTTGTTTGTTGTTTAACGCCGCACTCAGCAATATTCCAGCTATATGACGGCGGTCTGTAAAAATAATCAAGTCTGGACCAGACAATCCAGTGATTGACATCATGAGCATCGATCCACGCAATTGGGATTGATGACATGTATCAACAAAGTCAGCGAGCCTGACCACCCGATCACGTTAGTCGCCTCTTACGACAAGCATAGTCGCCTTTTACGGCAAGAATGGGTTGCTAAAGACCTATTCTTCCTCGGAATCTTCACGGGTCTCGCAGAGTGAGTGAGTATGGTTTTACGCCGCTTTTAGCAATATTCCAGCAACAGCACGGCGGGGGACACCAAAAATGGGCTTCACACATTGTACCCATGTCGGGAATCGAACCCGGATCTTCGGCGTGACGAGCGAACGCTTTAACCACTAGGCTACCCGACCGCACCCAGGTCTCGCAGACTAGAGTAATGCAGCATGCCACCGAGGGTTTTTATTACTTGGTTTGCGGGACCTCATCTCAACATGTCACAAAATAAAATCTTAGCTTTGATCTCCCGCCGAGACTGCAGCTTGTAACAAATATCAGTAATACACAACCGCAATACATTTATAAAGACCGATGTGGCTTAACTTATACAGCGACGCAAATGTGTGTGTGTGTGTCTGTGTGTGTGTGTCTGTGTGTGTGTGTGTGTGTGTGTGTGTGTGTGTGTGTGTGTGTGTTCCCTTTATTACAGAAAGACAGGCAGGGTAACAACAAGTACCATCTTTCGGTATGAAGCGATCATGGGTTCGAACCACCGGCCTTTCGCTCTCCGGACAGCGCTCTATCCACCTGGCCACGGAGGCGGTAGAGGTGTAATGAACTCTATGTCTTATCATAGTAGAATCACTCAAAATAGCAGTTTGCTTTCATTCTTTTTTACATTGTTCACCCCATATTGACTTTCATTGGTAAAAATTATGTTTAAATTTACTTTGTTGTTCTAATTAGATCAACGACCACATGCTTTAGTGAGTGAATGAGGTTTTTTACGCCGATTTTAGCAATACGCCAGAATGGGCTTCACACTACCCATGTGGGGAATAAAACTAAGGCCCTCGGCGTGACGAGCGATCGCTTCAACCACAGAGCCATCCCACCCTATCATACACACAACTCACGTCACAAAATATATGGTCTTTGTATTAATAAAACGACAGGTTCATGGTACCATGTATGACTATAATTCAATCACCCCCCAATAATGGGTTTATAGGGGCCTTAAACATGTATGGCCATATATAGGTATGTGACGTATGTGCATATGGAACTGATTTAATTTTAATCTACCACAACATGTTGAATGAGCCGTGATGTGATAGACATTTGCATTATTAGATGAGAATGTTTAGGTCAATTGACTATCGTATGTGAGACAAATATTATTTAAAAATGTTTTTGTGTATTTGTGGTAATAAGAATATTTTTTTTAACA